ATCGCCACCCAGCTTCACCTCCCACGTTCTACAGTGATCAGCATCACCCAACGTTTCTCGGGAAGGGCGACGACGAGCGACAGCCCCCGCCCCGGTCGCCCCAGCAAGCTCAAGTCATTTCACCGCAACAACATTGTAGCACAGATCCTCCTCGATGAGTCCGACACCGCACCCGAAGTGGCCGCCACTATGCGCACATTGTCCAAAGTTCGTGTCTCTCCATGCACGATAAGAAGGGTGCTGCATGGTGCAGGACTTGTCAACGGAGCGAAGGTCAAAAAAGCCCTCTTGAAAGAGACACACAAAGAGCGACGCTTGGCCTTTGCACTCGCTCATCAGCATTGGACCGTCGATGACTGGCTGAGGGTCGTCTTCTCCGACGAGACTGCTCTCTATCTCTACAGGAACAACAACGGTGGTCGTGTATGGCGTCTGGTTGGCGAAACGTTGACCGATCGATGCGTGCAGGGCACGGTCAAGTTCGGCGGTGGCCATATCAATGTTTGGGGCGCCATCTCTCGTTTCGGAATTTCGCTTTTCTGCGAGGTCGGCGACGTCATGAACGGCGACACCTACCTCTCAGTTTTGGAGAGCGAGTTGCTAGCAAGCATTCGCGTGTGGAACAACAAAAACGAGATGATTTTCATGCATGACAATGCCCCTTGTCACAAAAGAAAAGATGTGGCGAAGTGGTTCGAAACCAATCAGATCACCGTCCTGGACTGGCCTGCGAACTCTCCCGACCTCAACCCCATCGAAAATGCGTGGAACATGGTCAAGAACAAGATCTACCAGGAGAGGGAGATCAAGAGCAAGGCCGCGTTGTGGGAACGCTTCCAAGCGGTCTACGAAGAAGTGCTCACGCCAGAGGTCTGCCGCGATCTCATTTCATCGATGCCGCGCCGCATTCAAGCTGTGATAGATGCCAATGGTGGTTATACCAAGTACTGAAGTGGAGCGAAGGCGCTGCGACACGTTGTTTGTGTGCCATGTAATGCTTTGTGAAAATTGGGCAAAAAATCCGCTCTTTTTCTGTTTTTTTGAGTTTCATTTTTGTCTGTTCTCGCTTCGAATCTTAACTCCCAGCCCGCTGCTTCACTTCTAAAATGTGTCTGGTACACCGTACCATGAATGAACATTCCGCGGGCGAGACGGAAAGCAACACAGGTCCCAGGGAGGGCGAAAAAGTGAAAAAAAGAGGGGGGGTCGAAATTTAATGATCGGGATAGTAGATGTGCATGGAAATAAAAGCCCGGAACAACATGCCTCAACTGATGCACCACAATAGTGTGTGTTGATTGCGCTTGTTTTGAATGCCACTTGGCCAGCTGTGTTTGTACCAAAAACCCGAACCGCAGAGGACACGGCTACAAAATCATGCGAACACAAGATGGTGCACGAGCTCGTCGAGATTGATGGACAAAGTTTCGACCTGGAGTCGAGGTTCACCCGTCCACGAATCCCTCAGTCCCTATGGTTGAATCTCTGATGTATTCATATCATTGTAATGAACCTGTATCCAGAAGGAGGCGGAAGGAAAGTCGATCAGGGGGGTCAGAGTGAGAATTCTACTGCTCCTTTGCCTCTCTCAGGCCTCTTCCCGTCGCCTCTCCGACTACCCTATTTTGTGATACATGTGTTTCTACTGCAAGTAACGAAACAGGTAGATCTAGACCGGAACATTATTACCATTTTTGCACATTCGCAGTGTTTGTTTGTTTGTTTGTTTCTGAGCAGAGTTTCCTGCCACTAGTGATACATGGATGGTGGAGGATTGCTACCAATCGCTCTGGCGGCCGTACCCCGTCGCACGGCTGCCGCAGCTCACGGCACATATTGTCGAGGACCACCCCACGCCCGGATGCGCGACCGTCACGCTCACGTCGTCGGACGAGGCCGCCGTGCCGTCAAGCTCGTTTGTCGCTGACTTTGCGACGCTGGCCAAGTGCGAGGTCGGTCGCGAGTGCCTCGCTTCCATCCAAACAATGCTGCTCGAGAACCAGCCAGCGCACCTGCAGCTGCTGTTCCGCGTCATGGCAGACAGCCCGCACAAGACCAGCTACGCCGCCTGGGTCGCGACGGGCGAGGCCATCCTTGCAGACATGGACGCTGCATCTGCCGCATCTGCCTCTTCCTCGACCACAACCACGGCTCAAGAGACACAGGCTCAAGGGACGCAGCCGCTCCCTCAACTCGACACCCCATCGCCGGCAGTTGTGGCCGCGAGCCTCGCCACTCCGACGACCGAGCTGCTCGCAGCATCGCCCACATCGTGGTATCCACACAGCCGCACGCTCATTCGTGTCAAGAGGCACGAGAGGTTTCTCCTGAGCAAGAATCATGGTAATTGGGACGACGGCATCGAACGCTCGTACGCTGACCTGGCATTGATGGCCTTGCGCGTGCTCGCCTACTACTGGCACGCCGGCCGCTTACCATTCGATCGCTACCTCATCCAGACTGCGGATGTTCCCACTCGACTTTTGAAGCTGGGGCGCGATGTCGCTCCGAAACAGATGCTCGCTGAGATTGTCGAATGCCTCAACCAGCTCGGTCTGCCCTTGGACGAAGGCATGATCGACGGCACAAACGAAGCGCATGATGTGTACGCTCTGCCGCATTTGCGCCTCTACCCGCGATTCGACTGGGACGAGTGGCAGACATACCAGCTGACCTGCCCCCTCCTCGTCCGGCACCTCTTCCTGGCTGTCTGGCACGGTGACATCCCCATCCTGAGACAGAAGCTCGGCGAGCTATCGGCACTTGTTGACAGCGGCGCTCCGCTGCTGCGCCAGGCGCTGCCGAACCTCCCCTTTCAGTCAAAGAGCGACGTCCCTGCATCAGTGTTGAGCGATATCGTTCAGAGAGTGTGTTTTGATGACACGCCGCTCGATCAGCGCTCACGGTGGTGGTGGTATCCGCCCAAGAGCAATACTGGCGCTGACCGCACGCTCGCCTCTGTGCTGACCGGCGAGCTGCTTACGAGTTGCGTCTCGCGCTGCCAAACCAACGCTGTCACGCTCCTGCATCTCGCGGTGCTGCGGCGCCATGCTGATGTGATCCGCATCCTGGTGACGGAGTGCGGCATGCCCGTCGAGCTCGGCCTTTGGGCCGCAGTGCGGTATGGCCTCGTCGACATGGCCCGGCTGATGGTGGAACTTGGGGCGACACCGACCCGTTTTCTTCTTGATGGGGTCGTTCGCAACCTCGACTGCGACATGCTCCGCTTCCTTGTCGCGGCTGGCGGCGTCGTCACGGCCCGGGAGCTCACCGTGTACACCCTTGAGCACGACATCCCACGCGCTGACTTCCTTCAGGCGTTGCTTGAGCTCGGCGCGCCCATCGACGCTCAGGTGCCGGCTTGGTACTATTATCGGGCTTCTGACCGTACAAGACCACATCTCGTCGATCTGCTGCCTCGCCTGGCTGCCAAGAGTACGCGCATCGTCCCGCTGCTGCTGTCATACGGGGTGCGGAGAGGAGCACGAGCTGCACTGCAACACGCTCTCCTCGCACGCGATCTGGAGGTCTTCCGACTGCTGCTGCAATCCATCCCCATATCCGAGCTTGATATGCATCTGTGGACCGAGTTTATCCCCCGGTGGCTACCCGAGTCATTCAGGCCACTCTCGCCAGCTGAACAAACCCGTTTCATACTCGCGATCGTCGAGTACGGGCTGCCACTGCCCAGCGCCCTTCCCGCTGCCGACGGAACCGAGTTTGACTTGTTCGCCAACCGCAAATCGTACGACCTTGCTGGACTCTCGAACACCGAGAAGAGCATTTACCGAGGTGCGCAGTTCGCTGCGTCTTTCGTTGCCTTCAGCGAGGACACTGCGGCCATTCGCATGCTCATTGACCACGGCAACGGCGCACCCTGGCTTTTGTTGCTTTGTGCGTCTGTTCGGCCTGAGTGCCCCGACCAGTTGCTCTGCCAAAACGTTGAGCTGCTTATTTACGCCCTGTCGCGACTGGAACACGATGCGGCTGCGCTTGTGAGCGAGCTGTGTTTGCTCGAAACAGCTTGCGAGTTACGTTCGGCCAGTTGTGTTCTCCTTTTGCGGCTACTTGGCATTCCAGTCAACTATAGCCGAGAAGAGTTACTTGCCCGGTTTCGCGCTGCGGTCGGTCCAACCTCGCTGCAGCGCGGACAGTGACGGAAATGCTGATGGAGCCTTGGGCGCAAGTCTGGATTGCCATGCGTGAGTGCTGATGAGTGAGCATGCCGCTGGTTGACATGGCTTTGGGCGGTTGTGCTGTTTGCTTGCTGACAACGAGGGCTGCTTTGCTATTTTCGTTTTTTTTTGGCAGTCACTCCCCCCAAGATGTCGCTGTTGAATAGTGCTCGCCGGGCGCTCTTCCGCGCGCCGCAGCCGTTGCGCCGGTTTCTGTATGATGACGCCCAGCATACGTTTGGCGATTTGTACGAGCCGATTCCGCCGTCGTCGGAACTACTCGCTGAGGCACGCGTGGAAGTATGAGGTGCGCCTTTTGCTTGGACAATCATTTTGTTAGAATATTGTCTTCAAAAAAAACCAACAACGCAGCAACATCTCAGCAAATGCGACAACGCAGAAACATCTCAGCAAATGTGAAATTGAAAAACAAAACTCAAAAAACGCACAATACAGATACAAGAGAGAGAGAAAGGGAGAGAGAGAGAGAGAGAGAGAGAGAGAGAGAGAGAGAGAGAGAGAGAGAGAGAGAGAGAGAGATGTACATTTATGTGCTGTCCATGGGTGTTGGGGCAGAGACGTCGTTGGCATCATTGTCTAGCTGCTTTCGGTCTTCCCATTGGCAGCTTTGAACGCATTCCGTTGCGACAAACAACTTGCGCTTGTCGGATTGGGAAATCTTTTGGAGATGCTCCAGATGGTTTCTTGCGGTGGTGTCTGCGGTCGGGCCTAGATTCGTTAAACCAGCCTTGAGATGACTCGTGAATGCGGTCCAGACTGTTGTGGTTCGGCTTCGGCATCGCACACCGCTTTGTCCAAACCACTGCAGTCGCACTCGCACTTCTGCGGACCTTTTCGATCCTTGAGATCGCCAACAAAGTCCGGGTCATTGCCGTTTCTTTGTACCTCTTTCCTTTTTCCTTTTTGCTCCTTCAAAATAAAAATATGAAAACAATCACTGATCCGGTCTCAGTTTAGTCGTCGTTCCGTTGTGAGTCGTTTTTGTTTTTGGGGTGTGCTTCGGCGAGCATGAATTGAACAAAGAAAATCTAACAGGGATGGAGGGAACGCCGCCACTTGGGCTGCAAAAGAGAATTGCTGGGGGAAAAAAAAAAAACAAGTCAATGATTCGGGTTGTATTTTTGTACAAAAATGCATTGTCGAGACACTCGCGTTGTTTGGTTTTTTAGTACGGAGTGTTGTTGATGAAGCTGGTGAGCATGGCCAGCGCATTCTTGGGCTGCGAGTAAGGAACCATGTGGCTGGCGTCGTTGACGACGAGCTTGGTCAACGAGCTGGCAGACTTGTACCAACCGGCAGCCACGCCATCGACGTACCAGGTGGTGTTGACAGCGTTGTTGAACTGGTCCTGGAACGGCCAGTTGATCTCGGCGGCGTACGCGGCGGTGCCGAGGTAGTTGCAGATGAGATCGTTGCCGCCGTTGTAGAGCAGAACGCGAATCTTGGCGAGAATGCCGGGGAGAAGCTTGAGCGAGCTGCGCTCCGAGTCGTCGATGAGGGCGAGGTGCGGCAGGTTGTTGCAGCCAACCCACTTGTGCTGAGTGGCCTGGAGCTTCTGCTTGACAGACTCCGAATCGAGGTACTTGGTGAGGGCCTTGTTGAGCGGGGTGGTGGGATCGCTCTTCTCGTTGATGTCGTAGACATCGCCAATGCCGCCTTCAAGAGTGAGGGCCTCCAGCATGGCGTTGCCGACCACGGTGGCGGGCACGTACAGCTTGGCGTCGAGAAGCGCCTTGTACAGCACGTACGAATCGTCGTAGGCATCGCGTTCGAGGGCAGTGATGCGGCCGTGCTCATAGAGGAACTTGGCGTTCTGGCCAGTCTGGTAGTAGGGGGACAGCCAGCCGTTGCCAATGCCAATGCCAGCGAGGTTGAGCGTGTTGGTCTGCTGCAGAATGTAGTTGGCAATGTGGGGCACGTAGTGGCCGCCGTAGCTCTCGCCGAACAGGAAGAGCTTCTGCTTTGCGTACTCGGGGTGGCGTTGGAAGAAGGTGGTCAGGGTGATGTAGGCTTGGCGGGCGATTTCTGCAACGAATTATTGGCGCGGTGTGAGAAAAACACTGCTCGTGTCGGAAGGAAGGGTGGATCCGCAAAAATGCATCCAACTTACCAGCCTCGTTCACGTCATAGCCGAGCGGGCTGTTGGTGTACGAATAGCCCGTTCCGACGGGCTATGCGCAGCAAGAGCCAAAGGTCATAAAATCAGAACCGTGTTTTACATTTTCATACAGCATTGATTGATTTCGAACGTTGGCTTACCTGGTCAATCCAGAGAACGTGGGCGTTGTTGTTCCACGAGTACGGGTTGAAGACGAATGTCTCGTTTTCCAGGATCATGTACGGGCCGTTCTCGATAAACCTGGCAGTCAAAAAAAAAAAAAAAAAACCACAGTCAGTGAAACAAAGAAAATCTGAGCAAAAAAGAAATAGGTAAATAAATACAACTCCACATTTGAAAGAAGACGACAACCGGAATAAAGCTCATAATGGACAACAGTTGATGGCTTGAAAAAAAAAAAGCAACAAATCGAAAAAATAAAATAACAAAAGTCAAATAAATAAAAAATGGAAAAAATGAAAAAAAAAAAAAAAAGGAAAAAAGAGTCAACCTCGCAAATTGCGATTGCGTCGCTTCAGCCACATGACTTTGAGATAAAGGAACTGAAGAGCCCGGCTTGCAAGGCGCAGCAGAGGCGCAGCAGCGGGATGAGAGTGTGAGTGTGGATGGAGATGCAGACGCACAGGCCGAAGAGAGAGCTGCAGCCGGGGCCGCCTTGGAACCAGACGACGACGGGATCGGTCGCCGGAGTGGCCGAGCGCGACTCAAAGAAGAGGTAGTAGAGCGACGAGTCGTAGACACTCGACACGTTCGCAAAGCCAGAGTAGACGTTGGTCGAGTTGAGCGAGCCAATGCCATCGAGGTAGTCCACGCGCACTTCGCGGTTGTCGGCAGTCGGGCGCGGGATGGCAAGCGACGAGGCGAGTCCAGCCACACAAGCAACAGCAGCCACCACGGCCAAGAAGGCAGTCCGCTGCATGATTTGAAAGAAGAAAGAAGAAGAAAAATGAATGAGTGAATGAATGAATGAATCGAGGGAATGGATACAAGGAACAATAAAAGGGATTCGAGTACAGTATCGACCGATATTGCGAGAGTCAGCAAGGGAATGGGAAATCGCCGCTGTTTGGCGTTGCAAGGCGGGGAGTTGATCTGTGCGGCGCTATTTTAGTTGCACATAGTCGCACTGTTGTGGATTTGGATTACTCGTGTGTAGTGCTTCGTTAGCTCAGTCTGAGTTTTTTTTTCGGTTTCGTCTCCTCCAAGTTTGTTGGAACCCTTTAGAGCGTTGGATCTTGGCGGTCCCCAACGCACACTCTATCCCTCAATCCCCATTTCGCTATTACAGCACATACCAAAACCGCGCTGCTTATCTGATATTCGAAATCCCCAAAAGCTTTGACCAAAACCTAGAGAGCAGAGATGACCAAAGCTCATCTTCCGTCAGCGTTGGCCGCCGATGTCACTTTAGGACGACCGACCGAGTCGCCGACCCTCGTAGCAGCAGCAGCAGCAGCAGCAGCACCGATGGACGCGACGCTGCCTGTGACGGCTGCGCTCAAACCACTGACGGCGACGACCACGACGACGACGACGACGCAGCAGCCAGCTGCCCACCCCGCGCTGTGGACGGGCTTTTACAAGAAGACTGTGGACGAGCGCCGCGATCTGCTTGCACTCGCCTTCCCGCGGGTCCCGCAGCCTGCATTCGATGGCCTGGACGAGACTGCTGCAGACAACATGGTCGAGAACTGCATTGGGTATGCAATGCGCGTTATTGCAGCTCGTTCCCATGTGACTGCAATTCACACGGTTCTCAGAACCTGAGGGATTGTTGGACATGGTGGTTGATATGTCGTCACCACTCGACATGATTGCACCCTGATTGTGGCATTGATGTCAACACTCACACTCATCGACTCGACTAAACATGGCTGTGACCTCACACAGAACGATCGGGCTGCCAGTTGGGTTAGGTGTGAACTTTGTCATGAACGGCCAACCCTTCGTCGTACCAATGGCAGTGGAAGAGCCGTCCGTCATTGCAGCCGTTTCCGGCGTCGCCAAGCTGCTCGCGGCGCATGGCGAGCCAAAGGGCTTTGTGGCGACTCACAGTGAGCGAAACATTGTGGTTGGCCAAGTCCAACTGCTGGACATTCCGGATATGGCAGCTGCCGAACAAGCAGTGAGTTCACCGCTTGCGTTTTGTTTGTATTGTGCATTGTGGCTTTTGTGGTGGTTTTCTTTGTTGAGATGGACGATCGGCTGGATGGATGGCAACAACCTCATTTTTTTTTTTGTTGTGTTTGATCCGGCACAGATTGCTTTGGAGAAGGAACAGCTCATCGAGCTCGGCAACATGTTTTGCAAGAACATGGTCACCCGCGGTGGCGGTGTTTGCAACGTGACGTTTCGAAGAGTTTACTTGACCCCGCGAAGGCGAAACGGGAACGCAGTGGCTGTTTCTGTCGTTCCGGTCTGCTTGGTCGTTGAGATGCATGTGGACGTATGTGACTCGATGGGCGCCAACTGCGTCACCGGTGTGGCTGAAGGCGTTGCGCCAACGCTCGCGCGGCTGACCAACGGTCGGGTGGGCGTGCGCATTTTGTCCAACCTGACCATGGATCGGATAGCCACGGCCTCCTTCCGCATTCCAACCCGCGCCATGGCATACAAGGGCTACTCGGGTGAGAAGGTGGTGCAGTCCATGCTCGAACTGTACCAGTGGGCTGACAATGATCCCACTCGCGCCTGCACCAACAACAAGGGCGTCATGAATGGGATTGACGCCGTTGCGCTCGCTACCGGGCAAGACTTTCGTGCGCTCGAGGCCGCTGCTCACGCCTATGTTGTGGCTCAGCACGGCCGCTACGCGCCTTTCAGTAAGAATTTGTCGCAACTTTTTGCCCACATCGGGCTTGTAAGCGAACCTAAGAACTAAAAGTGTTGTTTGCTTTCCGCTTGTGCAGCTGAATATTGGCTGGAAGATGACGGTGCAACGTTTTGTGGCCAGCTTTCCCTTCCAATGCCGGTGGGTGTGTTTGGTGGTCCCCTGCGCACCAATGCTGCCTACCAAAATGCGCTCCTGCTGCTGGGCAACCCGAGCGCCAAGACCCTAGCCATGGTGAGAAAGGGGGAGGCCTTGTTGTTTGACGGTGTCGCCATACGTGAACGTTGCTGAACGACATTGCTTTGTTCTCGCTCGCTCTCTCTCTCTCTCTCTCGCTCTCTCTCTCGCTTTCCCCACACACACACACACACACACACACACACACACACACACACACACACACACACACACACACACACACACACACACACACACAACACACACACACACACACACACCGCAGATTCTGGTCTCGGTTGGTTTGTGCCAAAATTTCGCAGCCATGCGGGCATTGTCAACAGAAGGCATCCGTCGGGGTCATATGGCGCTGCATGCTCGTAACATTGCCATTGCCGCTGGAGCGCCCTCTCATGCTGTTCAAGAAGTGGTTGCCTTCATGATTGCCACCGACCGAATCACCGTGGTCGCGGCCTCCGAGTACCTCAAGGCGCATGCCATTCACGCAGAGCTCTTTCGAAGCGAAAAGGAGCGCCTGCAGCTCCTTTATCAGCACCAATTGGCGATGCCTGGGCTCCTGCTGCCCCATGCTGACTCGTCAGCTGTTGAGACTGCTGTCAACGCGACGGGCAATCTCCCCAGCGGCAATGATGCCGTGGTTGCCCCGAGCACGTTCCTGTACGAGGAAGCATTCAGTTCCACAGTGCCAACGGCAGACGGCGCGCCGGGCAGCGCACGCATGACATTCAACGTTGCGTTCGAAACACTTGGCGACACCCCCGAGTATGTCGTTTTTGACCAAGATCGCGAAAACCCGCTGACCTTGGCGCTCTTTGGACGTCGTGGCCACTCCTGGCTCTCGGCAGTCATGCGTTCGCTCGACACGTTGCGCCTGCCCTCGCCTGGCCCGCCTCGCGCCAACTTGCACGTGGTCAAACGGCTCAAAACACTGTCCATCTTGATGAACATTCTCACTCGCCAGCTCATGATTATCAATTCTGATGCCACCCGTCAAGTGCTCGGCCTTGTACTGGGAAGCAAGCGCAAGCATCGACTCCCGACCCACGCCAACGCTGAGGTACCCGCATCGACGACTCTGCTTGCTCCACGCTCTGTCGATCCGGCGGCTGGGGTGCACAGCGGCATCTCGAAGGAGTCCCGCCCGACGTTGTCTCTTCAACTTGCAGGCGCATCTTCCGAACCCGCGGAAACGCGCGCACTCCTGCAAACCAATCCACGGCCGGCCCTGTCCAGCCCAAGCTTTGTGTCGTCGCCCGCCACGTTTGCTCATCCAAATTCCGACCATCCTCTTGAGCATGACGGGGCGACTGAGTCCGAGCGCGAACGCTCCTTGCATCTCGACACTGTCCGGGAGATTGTCAAGCTGCGCTCGCACGAGCTGCGAGTGGGACTTCCCCTTCTTTTGTCGCTTTGGCACGTGTTTGAGTATCGCGTGGAGCAAGCTGCTGGACCCGCGCGGGACTTTGCTCGGCTCATTCTTGACGAGCAGTCCCGCGTTCTTTCGTCCTTGATTGCCAATCCTGCTGCGACAACCGTTGGAGGTGATTTCTGCGCTGCCCAGTCTGAATCTGGACCTTTGTCTGAGCGCTTGCTTGCAGAGAACAAGCGGGAGTACGACATTGAAGCACTCACCGACTTTCTGGGCACCCATGCCAAGCGCTTCCATGTCACCCTCTTCCTCCTCTGCGATGCTCTTGCCGACCACGAGTCGCGCTGGTCGCCGCCGCGTCTTGCTCGGCTTTGCCGTGTTGGGCGCTATCTCGAATGGCAAGGCGCCATCGTCCACGACATTGCACGCCACGACCGCGATCGCCACGATGGTACGCCCAACGCTCTTCTGTATTGGCTGCAATTGCCAACTCGAGATCGTGCCTCCGCTTCGGGTACTGTGACGGATGATTTGGTGTCAGAGTTTGTGCGTGTCGCGCTGTTGACGTGCGCCGAGCAAACTGCAGACTTGTTCGACCAAGAGGAGGACAGTGATGTGAATGACAGCTCTGAGAATCCAGTCTTTACTCAGTCTTCGGTCCGCGAGGCATTGAACAATATTCGCACCCATTACGGCAAGGCGGAGCTGTTTGCGCGCGAACAACAGCATTTGCGGGAGGAACGCGCTGCGTCGAGCTAGCTGTGTTTAAATTGACGCTTGTAACAAGTTTTTTGTACTGTAAAATCTATGTATCATCATTTAAATGCTACTTCCGTCGTGGCATGTGATCAATTGCTGCACGATTGAAAAACACATTTTTTTTTAATTGTGGATGAGGGGAGCTTTCCTAAATTTCACAATCTACCCATCTGGTCACACCTTTCACAAAACGAACGCTTTTGCTGAAGGGTTTAGCCCTTTGGTGGACTTTTGAGACTGGGGAGCAGCAGCAGTCGAGACGGCAGGAGTCGATGTCTTGTAGCTGTAGTAATCGTCGTCGTCGTCCGCGGAATTCACCACATGTGCTGGCTGAACAGGAGTCGCGACGACTGGTGCTGGGGCTGGGACTGCAGCTGGTGCCGGGGCGGAATGCTGCTGTGGAGCGGCGCGGTGAGCGGGAGCGGGAGCAGAGTGATGCTTCGGACGTTGCTGCGCTTGCTGAGGAGCAGGGTCGCTGCTGCGATAGCTGTAGTAGTCGTCGTCATTGCCATCAGAATTATCATTGGCTGCGACCTGGCCGGGAGCTTGAGTGTACACGGGCGCTGGGCCGTAATCTTGCGGCGCAAACTGCGGATACTGGCCGTACTGCGGGAACTGCTGTGCGTACTGTGCGTACTGGGCATACTGGGCGTACTGGGCGTACTGGGCGTACTGCTGCTCCTGCATGTACTGCTGCGGCGGCATTCCGTACATTTGTCCCTGTTGTTGGTTGGACCACTGGTTGTTGTTCCAGTCCGGGTTGGGCGGTTGGTACCAGGCAGAATCTGAGGGGTAGAGCGACGCATCGTCGCCGTAGAACGCCACCTCTTCCTCTGCATGCAACTCTGCAAAGCATTGCTCAATCAGGCGTTGCTCGTCGTCGTCGGGAGCGGCCGTGGAGAGCGTCCTGGCCAGCTGAGCCTTCGAGGCGCTCGAATTCGAGGTCGCTGCGGCAGCGCTGCTTTGTTGCGTCTTCGGGGCGGGTCCAGCCGCGTTCGAAGGGGCGGGCGCTTGCTTGCTTGACATGCTTGGAGCAGCAGCAGCAGCAGCAGCAGCAGAGTCGTGCGTGGGGTCTTGCTGGGCGTCCTCAGAGTCGAGCTGCCGAAGAAAGTCCTGTTCAAAGCCCTGCTCGTCCATCATCCACAGGAACTCTTCGAAATTTGGTTGTTGGCTTGCCATGGTGTAGGGTTGGGTTTTGTTTGGTTTTGTTTGTGATGCCTTGGTTGTGGGTTAGGAGGGACAAGCAGAGAAAAGGAAAAGAGAGGAAAAAGAAAAGAAAAAGAAAAAAAAAAAAAGAGAGACTGAGACTTGCATTGTGAAAAAAAAAATGTGATGAATTGTGCTTGTTCTGTTACTGTGTGGCTTTGTTTCAAACCCAGCACCACTCCACCAGGCTCACCAGGCTCACACAGCCAGACGAAATAAGGGTGAAGCTGCACCGGATTATCGCTCAAGTTCCTGCGCTTTCTGCGATTTTCTGCGATTTTCTGCGGATTGGCTTCTGTACTTGGCTTTCAACGCCTGGACAAGTTCAGTGCTATGCGTTGCTCAGAGCAACGACAAGGATCGGGACAAAAAAGGAACCACAGTCCAATGAAAACAACACACAGCTCAAGATTCAGCCAGTCAGCATCAGCAAGCGCGATTGGCAGCAAACTGCTCGACATTCAAGCCCAGAAACTCGAGCGCATTCAATCCAAGTAGCCGACGCTTCACGTGGTCATCGAAATCGGGAATGCTTTCAATCAGCTTCCCAGGCTCAAGCTCGCCTAGAGGGAAGGGATAGTCCGTGCCAAGCGCAACCTTGTCCACGCCAATCAGCTTGACCAAATACCGCAGGGCATTGGCGTCGTGCACGAGACTGTCGACCCAAAAGCGCCCAACATACGAGATCGGTGGCACTGGAGGGGAAGAAAGAGGAGCAGGAGTACGCAAAAAAAAAAAAAAAACAGTCAGAACAATCAACAGGAACAGGAAACCCCATCTTTCCTCGACTGCAGTACTCTCGCCTCACGCACGCACACAGGTCATGCAATCCAAGACATACCGTTGTTTGTGGTGGCGCAGATATCAGGCCGTGCATCGAAACCATGTTGAATCCTGCCAACAGTGAAAGGAAACGAGCCGCCGCCATGGGCAAAGCAGACCTATCAAAGTCAGACGGCCATGCATTCAAGCACCACAGGTGTCGAGTTAGGCTGCAGGTGTTTGGCGGAAGGGGTGACAACGAAGCAAGCGCATTGCAAATCTCGCCAAACCTTCAATCGCGGGAACTGCTCAAACACGCCGCCGAAAATCATGCTGCAAATGGCAACGGTAGTTTCTGTAGGCATGCCAATCAGCCATGGGAACCAGTACTTGGACATGCGGCCTCCAGTCTCCATGTCCCAGGGGTGCACAAAAATTGCCGCGCCGAGTTCCTCAGCAGCCTGAACACGGGTCGAGCGAGCAAAGTAAAACCGGTACGTGAGTGTGCATCCACAAAGTTAGAGTGTGATGTTCAAAACAAGGGGGTGGGGGTGCAACGGTTATCAAGTTGGAAATCAGCTGTGGCGCTTTACCGCAAAAAAGGGACGCAACTCGGCAGCGTCCAGGTTCCAGTCATTCACATGTGAGCCGATTTGGACTCCGGCAAGCTTGAGATCTACCATGCAGCGACGGAGCTCCTTGATTGCCATTTCTGAGTTTTGCAGCGGCACCGTGCCAAGGCCGACAAAGCGAGTTGGGTTTTTGGAGACTTGCTGCAAAACCAAACAAAAACGTTCGTTGAGGGATTTGTTCGTCCGCCCAGCACCTCTCAAGCGACCGGTGTGCATAATGGCATGTAGACCTTTTCTTGCAAATCCGAATCACCCATCCATCTCATGCTCACGGCACGCAATAGGACCATCCACACACAAAAAAAAAAAAAATACACCCAACTCACCTTGGCAATATCGTCGTTGAGGAAGACGGCCAGGTCCAAGGCATCCTCGGGCTTGGCCCAGTAGCTGAACATGACGGGGATGGTCGACAGGACTTGGACGTCGACGTCGTGGCCATCACACTCGCCGAGCCGCGTGGAGGCGCACCAGCAGTTGGACTCAATCACCCGGAAGGTCGTTCCGTCCTTCATCATGCGCGCCTTGCCCTGGGACCGACGAGGACGATGATGACGATGACAATGATGACGATGATGATGACGGTTCATGCAAAAGCAGAGCAAAGCACGCGAGACGGGTGAGGATTGTTGACAATGGTCAAAATTGGAGCGACGGCAAGTAAACCACGAGTCACTCAAAAGTCACACGAAGAAGGACGAAGCGGTGGCCATGCCAATGGCGTGGCAATGCATGTGTGGGGTGCATGGATAGTGCACGGCGGGTCTGCGCAGTCGGGCGGTGCGCGCGGTGCAGCGTTCACATGGCTAGCTGTCGGCAATTCAATTCGTTGGTTCTTTGCTCTTCCAAGTAAGTCGATGTACCTTCTCAAAGTGGTCGAGAGACACCCAGCCGCCGTAGCCGTACTTTTCCTTGAGATCGGGCCATGTTTCGGGCAGAATGTGTGTGTGGATGTCGACTTTGAGGGGACGGCTCATCGCGTGTTGAGCTGCGTGTTAACAATGGAATCAAGACTGAGCACACGATAGGCATAAGCAGAAGATAGAACCGTTCCTACGAAGCACACAAAATAATGCATAGGTCCGGTCAACGCTTGGGAAGAGTTCAGGGACGAGGGTCTTGTTGGCCAAAGGGGGAAA